CCTTTCCACAGGAACTTGGAGTCCCTCAGGGCCGTGTCTTGAGTGTCACACTTTTTAGTGTTAAAATTAATGCCATCACTAATAATCTTCCTCTGACTGTTGCAAATGGGCTCTATGTCGATGACTTCCACATCTCTTGTCAGTTGTCAAATATGAGGTTTATTGAGTAGCAGCTTCAGACTGCCCTCAAGCGGTTGTTGACATATACCACTGCAAACAGTTTTAAATTTTCTTTTTCCAAAACCGTTTGCATGCATTTTTGCCACCAACAGGGTCTCCACCCCGATCCCGAGCTGCATCTCGGGGATATAGTTATGTGTCCCTGAGGCAAAATTCTTGGGGCTTATCTTTGACTGTAAGCTTAGCTTCATTCTGCACATCAAGCAGCTACGTGTCAAGTGTGCAAGGGCTCTGAACATCCTTCGTGTTCTCTCTTCCAGCTCTTGGGGAGCGGATCGATGTTCTATGCTCAAGATCTATCGTGCCCTAATTCAATCCAAACTGGACTAAGGGTCTTTGGTCTATGGTTCTGCCAGGACCTTGTCCATGTAGATGCTGGACCCCATTCACCATCTGGGGCTTTGGCTCTGCACCAGGGCTATTCACACTTCTCCAGTCCAGAATTTGTACACTGAGTCCTACGAACCTGCTCTTCACCTCCATCATTTGCAACTTTCTTTACAATATGCTACCAAGCTTCGATCCTTACCATGCTATTTCTCTTGCCCTGGATCATGTAGAAGCTATGCAGTACAGTAATTGTACTATTTACACTGATTCTCTTAGCTCTCTACTGGCCCTGGAATCGCTTAACGCTAGTTCTCACCCTGTACTTGTTGATATTCAACACCGATTGGCCCACTCTTCTCTATATTCTGTTTTCATCCAGTTTTTCTGATCCCTGGCCATGTCGGTATTCCTGGGAACGAGCTCGCTGACACCGCAGCTAAGTCTGTCTGCTCTGGTGCCATCACTGCCGTGCCTGTCCCATACATGGACTACGGTCCTGTCTTCAAGGCACGGCTTTGTGCCAGTTGGCAGTCAGCTTGGGGTGAGCAACCTCATAACAAGCTTTTCCAGATCAAACCTTCTGTTGGTCTTTGGCCATTTTGCTTCCATAAGGATCGCAAGGAGGAAGTAGTCCTGGCAAGGCTATGCATTGGTCACAGTTTTTAACCCATCGTTTTCTTTTATCATGTATTGACGCACCGATGAGTAACCATTTTACTGTCGTGCCGTCGTTATGACTGTGAGCTTACCCATGATGTTGGACAGTGTCATTGGTAATGGTGACACTGTCCTATTAGATTGTATTTTTAATGTTTTATGCACTATAGGTCTTTTTAATTATATATAAATCTTTTATCAACATGTATTCGTTTTAACTTGCTGTATTTTTACATTTTACTTTAATTTACTTTCACTGTTTTTACCGGTTGTTTGGCACAGATAGCCTCATTGCTTTGCACCATAAGGCACCAAACAAACAACCAACCTTGAAGTAAGCATAAGGTGCTGTAATCTCTAGTAAAGTTATTGGTAATGCTACTCCTATTGTAATCATATGCTTCAGCCTATAAACTTTGCTATTTATAATACACTTACATTGTACATCCATATACAGAAGAATGTTGAGCATGTTTCCTGTAGAATATGTTTCACACTAGGTTTGCATTAGGTGTCTTAACTTATGGTTGTTTAACAGGAAAATGTATGTTTATACACTCAAGTATTAATTGAATAAAGATGTCTAATATGGTGGAATATTACAGTTATAAATCAATAGAATGATTAATCTATATTTTGCTTTTTTCTCAAGTACACAAGTTTTAAAATTGATGATTTTTAATCACTTGGACAGGTGAAGTGTCAACCCATGTCTACAGCTGATCCACAGTATCAATTAGAGAAATTAATAGTTGACTCCATCAATGTCAGTGCTACAAGAAGATCATATGAGTTTACACATCTTCATCACAGCACAGCATATCAGTTCCAGGTGTGGGCTTTTACTCAAGTTGGTTATGGACAAGAAGTTGAAGCAGTATACTGGACAGAATTTGCTGGTAATTATTTTTTACACAACATAATAATAACAATAGGACACTCTAACTAACACAAGTTTCTTTTATTTTGATATTTTTTAACATAGTTTTGTGCAGTATAAAAGTATACCTGTACAGACTTAGTTAGCCTCATTTATGGAGATTAAATTCATCATCTAAATGTTAAAACATTTTCTATATGAAGAATTTTAAGGTCTTTGGATAACAGTCTTAATATCATTTGTACCTGTGTAGTAATAATGACATTTGAATGTACAGGTTGTATTTAATATTTATTGTGTGTGTGTATAGCAGGGTGATCACTAATCTGTACAATTCACAGAATGTAAGGAGGTAAGGTTTGTCTCTAAATTTACAACTGCACTCCAACAATGTTGCTTAGCTTTACCAGTTATTAATATATTTTCAAATAATTTTGTTTAGTCACTATATGTTATTTTATCTGGTGATAATGACCTAATTAGTTATATGTGTCATACGTTAGATCAAACATTCTTTTATAAAAAAATGCACTAATTTATTGTCTCCTTCAAGTTGTAATGTCCTTCTTTAAATATCTTTTTCTGTAATAAGATAGTGTGAAAAAAGCTAGTTTTGGAGATTTTTTGTTGCATTGTATTGCAACTGTTGATAATTAGGTAGAACTATGAGGAAATATTTAAATCATGCATGTGTGTGAGTTTGAAAATTTTGAAGTTTTGCCTGGGAAGTCAGATGAAAATAAATGAAAGAATGTGGCCACCTTGTACAGTCTCTGACATATTTTGAAAACTAAATAATGGTAATGAACATGTCTTCTTAATGTTTTTAAACCTGTAAAGTAATGATAATATGTTTTTTGTACAGTTTCCTTTTAAGTGTTTCTCACAGACTAATGTACAGATCACCCATAAATTTTGTGTACATATGTAGTAACTGTAGAAATATTAACACAAGACACTTCTAAATATCTCATATTTCATTTTAATTATAAGCATAATTTTTTAAAAGGTTATGATATCACAGTTTAGAAGAATTACAAGTATGTGTTTAGGAATAAAATAAGCTTTCTTATGCATTGTTTATTTTTAACTGTCTGATTGCATAGCTGTTGTTTTAAAGGTATTACTATATGTACATAGGTCATATGTTTGTATATTTTTACAGAAATTGATGCACCTCCAAAAGCAATTATTTTGAATGATTATGTGACTGAAAGTAGTGTGCCTATTATTTTCACACCAGCAGACCATATTGGAGTGAAGTAAGACATGACATACGTTTTTATGATAGCTTATATCGCAATATTAATTTAATTTATATAGACTATATATTTTACATTATCATAGAAAACTTCATAAATGCCAATAATGTTTTCAAAATGATCTGTAACAGAAAATCTAAAACTGAATCACAAGACCTTGTTGTTCTAATGGTCAGATGTATTGGTAAGATGATACAATATATTCATATTGGAAAGTTCAGAGCCATTATTGGAAAAACCGTGTTACTTCTTTTCTCTTTTAGAATCCTGCTTTCATTCTCTTCAAATTTAACTGTAGTCAATTTTTAAACAGAAGGAATTAATTTAATTTTGAATATTGTATTTTACTGTATAATAGTATATATTATATCCCTACTTTGTTATAAAGAGAAAAAACAGCTATTTTATGTTTTTTTATTTCATCTACACCTTACCACTTGTGATAGAAAGTACAAGTAGTAAACTTTCATAAATTAATTTCACTAAAACATGAAGCTGAATATTATGCAGGTGGAACACATCAATTACAAAGCGAAGTTAATATTTATATAGACATTATTTTGCACAGAAATTCAAATGAAATAAGACTAACATATTTTATAGTTTTGAAACAATACCCCTCTCACCCAAAACTATCTTGTTCCTGGTCTGCCCTCTAAGCATTGCTAAAAACAATTTTGCTACAGCACACCAGTCTTAATACAACCATCAGTTTTGCACCATTTCAGAACATGTGCTGATCATGTGACTACTCTCCACCAATTGTACTGCTCCATCTATACTTACACAGCTAGCTCCCACTACTATTGTAAAACAATCCTCACTCGTGTGTTTTAATTCTCACTCCATGTGACTACAAAAATTTTATTGTGCTTGATCTCAAATTAATATCAGTTTCAACTTCAAGTTCCGACTTCCATTTTTTGTTTGATTTCCATTGTTTCTACTCATTTATCTTAGAAATATTTATGTTTTCCGAATTCATATTTGTTCCTGTGATTTCGATATGGCAGATGAGGAACTTACAGCGACAGTCGACAATATTTCTGACACGAGTCTTCAGATCACAGTGTTGACGATGTATGCTGGGGAAGTACAGGCTTTAGTTCCCAGGGAGTTCCTGTCGTACATTTGGCCGACGATTGTTTCCTTTCAAGTTACGATGTTTTGTGAGGAAGGATATAACTACTGGGTGGAAATTCCTATCTACGGCACCTACCACCTGTTACCATGCCTCCCTGTAATCTCCTGGGTTAGGTATTGTCCTTTTTCTTAGGAGATCTGTGGTAAGTTTTTCAATGTGTATTCCTCACTCCCTGTTGGTGTACCCATGTTTAACAAGTTTGTGTGAGCTTGTGTGGATTGACCTAATTTCCTCACGTGATAATTTAGGTCTTTCATGTCTTCTCTGCTCAGTATTTGGTAAGTCAGATTTTTATAATTCTTTTACCATAATTAGTTAAAATTTGAGTTTAGAGTTTGTTTCTCACTTTGTTTTTGTTTCATTTTTGGTATAAGTACTGGTTTTGCACGATAGTTACTGTTTGTGTAATTGTAACTTCGACCAGCCCCAGTTGAACTCTTATCTGGAGCCACCTCGCTTCACCATGGAGTCCTTCCTCTCACTTCAAGTTTTTTTTCCCTGGGACTCTAACTGACCAAATCATCATGACAGATGCATATCTTCATATTCCAACTGCTCCAGTGTCACGTCATTTTCTGTGGTTTGTCCATGAGGGTCATGTCTTCCAGTTCCAGGCACTGCTGTTTGGTCCTTCTTCGGCTCCATGTGTTTTGTTGAATGGTATGCTCTTTTGCCCATCATTTTCAATTAGTGGGTCTTCAGACTTTCCTTTTCATGGATGTTTAGCTCCTTCTTGCCTCTTCCCATGCTCAGTTGGTCAATCATGTCTGTTCACTTCTTCAAAAAGCTAATTGGGTTGGTTTTTCTGTTCCGGTTGGAGAAATCTAAACTTAACCCCACTCAATATCTTATTCCTGTGGGGGTTTTTCTTCAATTCCCATCTTCATCGGGCCCAGCCTTCTCCACTTTGGCTCTGGGATATGGAGCAGGCAGTCTCAATGGCTCTACCTTCTTTTCTCACTGTGTGGGGAGTTCTCTCTCTTTTGGGGATGTGAGCGTCCTTGAAAGCTCTCATTCCATTGGGTCGAGCTCACATGCATTCATTTCAGTGGATGCTTCTCGACCAATGGAACTCCCACAATCTCTTGGACCATACCATTAACCTTCCCCCTGAAATTAGGGCCGACCTTGCTTGGTGGCTTGACAGGAAACTGACCATGGTGAGGGTTCCCATTCCTCCATTTTGTGTGGAGTCTCATCTGTTTACAGATGCTTCCTTGGTGGATTGGGGATATATCCAGTCGAGGATCCATCAAGGAGGCTACTCTTCATTTTCAACATCCTTGAACTTTTTGGTTATTTATCAGGCTCTGTATCATTTTCTCCTGCTCCCGAGGGGAAGATGGTTGTGGTTCATTCTGACTATTCCACTGTCATTGATTATATCACCAAGCGAGGAGGAACCAAATCCAGATTTCTGTATTATCAGACTCTGGATCTTCTTTACTGGGCCCATGAACACGATCTTGGTGTGTCAAGTTCCTGGAATTATGAATCTAGTGGCTGATCTATTATTTCGACCCAACCAGGTTCTCCCCATATAGTGGTCCCTTCTTCCATAACTATTTTGGTGGGTGTGTTCTCCAATGGAAACACTGTATATAAATGTGTTTGCCACTCACGGGAGCATCAAAATTCCTTCCTTTTGGTCTAAGGTTCCACACCCTTCAATTATTGGAGTAGATGCATTCATTCAGGATTGGAGGGATCTTCACCTATATGCCTACCTTCCAATCAGACTCCTCTCCAGAGTCTTTTTCCCTTATCCAGAGTACTCCTTGTTGTGTCCTGCTCATTGCTCCATATTGGCCTGCCCAGACATGGTTCCCTCTGCCCTGGCCTTTACTGGAGTGACATCCTCTGCCTTTACTTCTGTCCCAGTCTCTCCTCCAACAACTGTGATTGGACACAGTTCATTCTGACGTCACCAAACTCCATCTTCATGCATGGTTTTTGTTCAGTCCCTTGCCTCAGCTCAGGGATTCAACCCTCGTGTAGTATCTTTCCTCTCCAATTCCATTTGATATTCCTCCTTGTCTGTATACCAGAGGCAGTGGTCTACCTTCAGACCTTGGTTCATTCACCATGGCTTCCTCTTCTCCCTTACTTTGGTACCTTATCTTTCCTAGTTCTTCACCTAGTTGTTTGGTCAGGGTTGGTCTGTGTCAACTGTTTCTAGTTGTAGGGTTGCCCTGTCGAACACCTTCTGATTCTTCCATTTCTAGAAAGCTTTCTTCTTCCCTATTATTTTCCGTTCCTTTCATCTTGTCCATCTTCCATGTCCCTTTGTTTTGCCATATTGTATCTCAGTTTGTCCTTCATGCTCTGTCCAGTTCTCCATTTGAACCCATTGCTATGTGTTCCTTGTATCATCTTTCTCTTAAGGCCTCTTCCTCCTCCTCCTCCTTTCTTGCAGTTGTCGTCATTCTGATATTTATGCCACTCCTGTTTCCTGCATCCTTTACCATTCTCTTATGTTATTCTCTATCCTGATTGGGCATTTCTTTCCTAGACATCTGGTGCCTGGGCAGATAGTATGGCCTTCTCTCCTATTTTCTTACCTTCCATTTGTGATTTGTGGACAGAGAGCTAGTTATGATGACCCTCACGATTGCGCTCTTTATAGTAATTTATATCTTTCATAATCCTCCGTATCTAAGGCACTTCCTCTGGGTGTTTTTACCCGAGCAAACTGCACTTGTTAATTGCTATATCTTATTCAAGGTGTTTCCACTGGATGTTTTGCCCAGATAGATCAACTTGGTATAATCCAATGGTATCCAAGGCACTTCCCTTGGCACAGACATATAAGAGAAAGTGGTTGCATACACATAAGCCTTTCCATGTTTGTCAACACCATATTGATTTGTGTCATAGTTATTCAGCACTTCCTACACTAAATCAGTGCTGTACATCTCTTTATTGACTTCAGTTGTGCCTGTCAATTCAGTTCCACCCTAGTTGTATTACTGTATTTATTGCTGGGTGAAGAACATACCTGTTGCAGTACCCCCACTGGTGTGCTTTCTTTTCGTATCTTAGCACACCTGTTCTTTCAGTGTGGTCACTTTCCACTTGATTTGAGATTGATGCAGCTTCATTGGCCCCTCCGTATTGGAAATGTGGGCTTCTAGCTTTGGGTGAGAGGAGGTAGTACTGTTTCGGAAGTTAACGTTTTCTTACTCTGAAAATGTATTTCCAATAGGTACTTCCCTCCTCTCACCCACTTTCCACCCTTTGACCCCACTGAGATGCTGGTGTTTATGGTTTGTGCCTACCAATTTTCGAAAGTGAGAATTGTTCAAGAATAGTAGAGGGAGCTAGCTGCACAAGAATAGATGGTGGAGTGCAGTTGGTGGAGAGTGTTCACATGATTAGCACATTTTCTGAAATGGTGCAAAACTGATGAGGTATAAAGACTGGTGCAGTGTAGCAATTTTTTTAAAACAATGCTTAGAAGGCAGACCAGGATTGAGATAGTTTTGGGTGAAAGGAGGTATGTACATTTTCAGAGTAAGAAAATGTTAACATTTGCAGCTTATAGCTCATGCAAAAAACAAGTTGTAATATTTCAGTACTTAGATGAATGTGTTTTAACTGAGCTTCTAGAGGTGAGAGTCTTGATGTACCTCATACATTGCACTGTATATATATATATATCTACAGGCCTCGACGAATTCCGGGCACTAGGATGCCATAGCAACTAAAATTTTTCTCCCATTTTATTCATGCATAGGGCTGTACTAACCAGAACTCGAATCTAGAACAGTTTTGGACTCTTGGAAGTCCAGAACTATTTTCACATTCTTTGAGTCCTAAATCAAACTTTGTTTCTAGGATTTTAATGGCAGATTCA